GCATACATCTATATTTAAGTCGGCGGATTTGAGTTGATGATCATCACCCAAGTGAAGCGATAAGCGAGCATTGATAACTATAAAACATTCTCTATTTTCCTCGAGTTTCTTTTGAACTTTCTTTAAGATTTTCCTCTTTTTCTCGCTGTCTCCTTCGTTTCCACTCACTTTGTATCTTTCTTTTTCCTCTCTCGCTCTCTCCCTCTATTTTTGCATATGTATCTATCAACCCTCTTTCTATCTCTCTCCACCAGTTCACTTTCATCTCGCTCCCCGAAATCGCTTCTCTCTTTCCTCTCTCTCTCACCCCTAGCTCTTTTAAAGCTTTACATCAGCTGATGATCGTTTACTAACTTTAACTGATCTATCTTATATTTTAGATTGAGTTGAGTTAAGCAATACAAGAAACTGTTTCTATCATAGTATCATTTGCCCAGTTCGACTTACATTCGGAATTACTCAAATGGGTCACTAATTAGGCGCTTTCGATAGATCCAGTTAAGTGTTGGGTGTCTATAATTATGCAACGGCTCTGGCCAGGCGCTGGCTCACCTTTTGTAACGTCTCATTTAGCACACGGACAACCCTTGGCCGGATCGAAGCAGCTAGACACACGAGGCAAGACGTGGCTAGACGAGCCGAGGGTTGTTTCCTAGCCCTATTGTTCAGCTGGCAGGCTTCACTGTACGCACATGTAACAGCTGAGCGGCTACCTCTAACTAGCAGGCTACGGTCCGTTCGGACGTGGTCCATTGCTGATTGGCTGGATTGTTCATGTGGCTGGCATTTCGATTGATATCAATTCAATGTCTCTGGCTCTACCTGAACGCCCTATGCAATTTTTGAGTGCATTGAACTCTACTCTAACGAGATGAAATGAGGGGGAGACATGCTCGGCGTCTGTCTGCTCAAACGAGGGAGAGAAAGAGAGATAGGGAGAGTGAGTGAGAGTAGCTAGGCAACATTCATAGCGAAATTCGCGAAAAATGGGGCGCAAACTAATTTGCCATCAAAGGCAACTGCTAACAATTGCCAGAGGCGTCAAGCCTCAGCCCGGCATGAGGGAGGGCTTGTTTATGTAGCCAGGCGAATTCTTTAAATAGCATCGAATGCTTGGCTAGGTACGCGGTATTACGTTGCTGATTATATGCTAGAGGCAACGCTAGGAGGCAGAGTTCTTCCCTGCCTCAGCTGCTCTTAAAGTTATCGATAACATTTAAGTGTGCAAATATTGCATAATATTTTTATTTTATAGCAAGCAGCCTTTGTTCTTGATCAGGAACTTATTTAATCTCAAATTGCCTTCAGTTGGGCCTTCAGTTGAGCCAGCATATTCGGCTCAGCTCAACCCCTGCTCAACTACGCCTCTGCTTTCAGCTAGCATTTCATTGCAATATATTGGCAAACCCTAGTGCAAAATGTCAATAAGTCGATGTTCAACTAGAGATTTGACAGCTGTCATCCGCGAACTGGAGGTGGTGCCGGTGGTGCAACGAGCGGTGGTGAAAAGAAGAAAAAGTGTTACATTTCCCTATTTTGTCTACTTTCAAATGCAAATGGATTTGTTCTGGTCGACGCTCTCCAGCGGCAACAAGAAACGAGTTACGCTCACAAACGGGTTTCGCAACACTGTTTTCCACTTACGATCCTCTCCTGATACCTTGCAATCGCTGCGAGTGTCGAAATGGGGTAGATGGGTTCGAAATCTCTCGGCCTGATCTTTTATATATCGTCCTTAAGGGAGTCGATAGACGTATCGATGTTGACTTAGCTCTGTTTATCTGTCCGTTTGTCTATATGATTGAATGAATGACTCGATCTTGACATATATTAAACTACAGAGTACATAGATTGTTCTATTCTGAGTTTCTTTTATAGAGCAAGTTTCTTTCTATATGATCGATAGTTTAAATCGATTATTTTCGATTTCAAAATTCCCCTTTTGGAGAACTCTACCTTTATAAACAGTGACTTAAGGTATTTCCTAGCCTGGCATATCCAAACCACAGCACGCCTATTTGCTCGCTTTTGTTTTTGTCGCTGTCAAAACTTGAAAAACATTTTGGCATTTGACACACACACACACACATTCATGTGTGAAAGTCGGAGAAATGTTTGGAAAATGAAGACATATGGTCATATTTGTGATATATAGTCAGGAACACAGCAAAACAAAGCAGCCAAAAAAAAAAAAAAAAGACTGGAAAAAGGCTGAAGGGGTTGCTGCCTGCCTCAAGGCAAGTTCCTGAACCTGTTTTGCCCATTGTTTTCCACTGCTACCAAAACATTTCGCCATTTCCATAGGATTTCGGTCGTGTAATATGGGAAATTCGAGCATGTAAATAGTAGCTTAGACAGCATTTGCCTTAGGGTTAGTCCAGTGCGGTTGAGAAACTTAGAAAACCTACCAGATAAATGTAAAGTTTTTCTATAAAAGGCCAGGATTCGTTCTATTATATATATTAAGGAAAACTATTTGTCTGGATCAAAGACTCGACTTGCTTTAGTTAGAATCACAGGGCAGAGCCGAGACCAAACAACAACAGAATAGAGCTCTGTGAATACTTTTCACAGCTCTCGAGTGCCCTTGATTGTGTCAACAAATGCTTGAGGCCATATACTCTGGCCCGACTTGTTAAGGATACGCAAACGCAAGTATTTCAATATCTTTTATCTTTGGAGTTCACACTTTATGAATGCTTATTTCGCACACGAGCTTTCAATGGCAAACCCCAGCCAACTCCACCCAACCACTTGACACTCCCATGCTCAAGGCCCCAGTCGGAACCACCCCAAAAAAAAAAAAAAAAAAAAAAAAAAAACAGAAGGAAAAAAATATCACAAAAATTAAACGAATTGGGTCAAAAGATAAGCGGAATTATCTTGAAGAGCCTATGCGAAAAATGAGAAACACTTTCGAAATGCAAGGGAGAGGCGCGGGGGGTGCTGGGCAGTGGGCATGGGCGTGGGAGTGTGGCAGTGACAGAGACAGAGGCAGAACAAGAACAAAATGCAAACGGTTGCCACTCCAAATGTTGAGCAACCACCCAAACCACCCGCCGTAGCCGAAACCACCAACTGATGTTTAGCTTGACTGCGTTCAGTTGACAGTTCCCCTTGTGTATGCTGCTGCTGCTGCCTTTTGCTCTCATCTTCGTCTTCTTCTTCTTCTACTGCTTCTACTTCTACATCTAGTACTCCCCCTCAGGCTAGTTTCTGCTCCAGCAAGTTTTTTTTTTTTTTTTTGTTGCTGCTCATCTTCTCTGTTGTCAACCCAAAACGTTGAAATTTCATTATTTATCATAAGGAAGCTGTGTGTGTGTGCGGGTGTGCATGTGTGTGTGTATGTGTGTGTGTGTGTATCTCAGTTTAATGGACTGCTGCTGCAAGGTGCCTGCTCTCAGCTCTCAGCTCTCAGCTCACAGACAACCGGCTGCCGGCATAATAGACGCGTGCGCTCTCGCTCTCATTGCTATGCTCTCTCACACTCTCTCTCTCTCTCTCTCTCACACACACTCTGTCTCTATCTATCACTCTCGCCTGCACAGTCTCTATACTGTTCGCTCTACGTATCCTTATTGCGTGTTATATCCGCGCCTGGGAGGGTTTGGGTTTTGCGGCAATGCCTAAATTCTCTCATTTTTCTTTGTCCAAAAGCTTTTATCCAGAAATCATTTGGGTTTTTCATGTAAATATATACATATATATATATACATACATATATAGCATATCTATATACATATTTATATATAAATATATCTATTTTTATATACTTATATATAAACTTGTCTGCGGAATTTCGTACTTAGCTTGAGTGCTAGCAATTATCCTTCAGTTAAATTCATGAAATTTTATTAAAATATTTCAGTTGACTCTGCTCTTAGACTCTATTCAGATCTTACAAAATTATGGATTATATTCAACTTATGAGTTCTACGTGGTTGATTTTTGTACTCTTGATTCTGTAACCATATATATATCCTCGTATATATGATATATAGGCATGTATATATAAAGATCATATTGATAGTTGTATAGTATTATAATTATTTTGCATTTTTGACCTTTTAATCCATAAGTACATAGCTCCTTAGCCATTCCTGAAAAACAAACAAGTAAGCTTATAGAGAAATGACGAAGGGGATACAGAAAATTTGAAGAGATCTATGGTGCTATGGGACTATATAATTTGAATATTTATTATTTATCATTATATAAGGTAAGGAATCAAATGAAATGCCATGCATTTTCTCTTTAAAGTCAAGTTCCTGACAGTTTCAAAGTTTTTCTTAAAGCTAGAAGATCTTTCAGCTTTATATCGCCAACATACGATCTCTTAGGAATAAGAATGTATACGAGTAGATCAATTAAATTGATAATATGCTAAATGCTGTTTACACATTCAGGTGGAGTGTGGCATTTAGAGAGCTTCTTCTGCATGATGAACGCCAGATGGTACTTAATCTGCTTTCCATATCAAAGCACACACACACACACATGCATACATGGATGTCACTTTGCATATACATACATATGTATATGTATATGTATATGTAAAGTATGTACATATATATACACTTGCATAGCCTGCATATGACACAGTCGACACCCCGTCCCACAGCCACCCACTCTGACAAGCTCGCTCTCTCACCTCTCTCTCTCTCTCTCCCTCACTCGCTTTCTTCCTCGGTATCCCTGGAGAGCAGAAAAAGTGCGATACTCGTGCGTGCGAGCGAGACCGCATGCCTTTTAGCTCTAGCCGGCTCGCTCGCGCAAAAGGGTGTGTGCCAGCCGGCCGGCGATTCATGGCGTGCGCGTGCAAGCGAGACGGCGCATACGAAAGCAGCGCGACGGGTGGTTGCGCTCGCTCGCTCTGGTCTCTGGTCTCTAGGCTCTGGCTCTGGCTCTCTCTCCGTGTGCGCGTGGTGTGGGGCGTCGTTAAAGGATACACTGGATACGGAGTCGCGACCGGCGGCGCCTGCTTTCTGTTCAGTCGTACGTGTTCGTTCGTTGCTTTCGTTCGGTTTTGATTCCATTCGGTTGTGTTTCTCATTCGAGAACATTCATTTATAATTTTTTGACTCCTCTGCACCAGTTTTTCTGTTGTATTCAGTTACAAATTTGTTGTGTTCTACGTTTTTTCCAACTAAAAAAAAAAAGAAGAAAACAACAACAAACAGAAACACAACTGCAATTGTAACTACAACAACAACAACAACAACAACTGCAACTGCAACGGCAATAACTCTGTGCAAGACTCTCTTCTGTGCAATATACCAGATGATATATATTTAGGTATATATATATCAGTATATATATATATACCAACTATCGCTACTATCGTTTCGTTACGTTTCGCTTTAAACACTCGTGTCGGGCAAACATCAATTGCAATACGTTCAACTCGATTGACGAAAGCCAAGCTAACTGTAAAGCAACAACAACAGCAGCAACGGCAACAACAACAACAACAACAACAACAACAACAACAACAACGCATCGATTGTGTTCCTAGTCAAATTTGTTCCATTTTTTTTTCGCTTTTTGTTACACTGTGCAAAAGCCAAGCCAAGCTAAGCAAAGCAAACGCAGCAACAAGACCAATAACAACAACAACAACAACAACAACAACAGCAACAGCAACAGCAACTACAGCTAAAACTCAAGCAGCGTGCGTCAGAGCGAGATAGCTGTTGCCAACGCAGCCTTTGAGTGAGCGAGCGCGAGCAACTGTTTTGCAATCAATAGAGCCAAAAGAAAAGTTTTCTTTTCTTGCTGCTTCTTCTTTCACATATATATATATATACATATATATATCGAAATATATATATACTTCTTTGCTATCTATTTTTTTTATGCGACGTGTCTGTGTCGACTTTATCGTATTGCAGAAATCTGTAAGTATATAACAGTTACAACAGTGCTTAATGTCTACCGTTCTTTTTTTTCTGTGCTTTTTTTTCATGTGCTTCGTCTGCATTTTTTTGTTCAGTGTTGATATGATCATGTGAGATAATATTATATGTATGTGTTAATCATAATACAACTGCTGTTGACAGTGTTGGAAATCCATGGAATGATGCGATCAATGCGTCAATGTGTGGACAAAAATGATAAACAGAGTGTGAAAGGAAGAGACTGAGCTAGAAATGAAGAGCTTGAGAGAGAGAGAGAGAGATGGATGGAGAGAAAGAGATAGAGAAAGACAGAGAGAGAGAGAGAGAGAGAGAGAGAGAGAGAGAGAGAGAGAGAGAGAGAGAGATGTTGATAGAGAGAACGAGAGATAGAGAGATATATAGATAGAGAGATAGAGAAAGATATAGTTAAGGAAAAACCGACCGAGTATGAAATTGATCTCTCTTTCCGTCTTGGATTCTTCCATGTACTGTCTTATCGTCCCTCACTCTGTATATATGCATCTACAACAATTCCAATCTCTCTCCTACTCTTTCTCTCTCTCATTTTCTCTCTCTCTTTTTCTTTCTCTCTCTTTCCAAATCTATGTATACCAACTTTAATCATTACTTCTAATTCCACTTGTATCCTTCATTTTCTGCTCAATTATTGTTGAGATTCTTGAGCCGAAGAATTGCCACTTTTAAGCTGGAAAAAGTAAAACTTTCCTTCTCTCGCTCTCTCTCTTCCTTTCCCTCTCTCGTACTTTAGCAGTTGTCGTCATGCTTGTTAAGCGAAGAGAAAGACGGCTCAGAATAGTAAGGAATACCTCAAATTATTCTCTTCCTTTCTCTCTTTCCCTAATTCTTTCCTGAACTCCTCACTGTCTCTGGTCTTTCTATTTATTTATTTTTTCCTCTCTCACTTGTTTCTCTGATATTTTATCTGTCTCCTTTTCTATCTCTGTCTTTCTCACATATATGTTACGTTTTCTCTCCTTCTCTATTTTTACTGTCTTCTCCTCGCTCTCAGAGGAAACCTCTGTTTTTCTCTTGATCTCCCTCTTTCATTCTCTTACTCACTTTCCGTTTTGCATCTCTCTTTCTCGTTTAGACCTATTCCCATTTCTATTTCGATTTCTTACTTTTTTGTTCTCTCTCTCTTTTTCTTTCGCTCGCTCTCTCTCACTCTCTCTCTCTCTCTCACTCTCACTATCTCTCTCTCTCGCTCTTCTATCCGTATCTTCATCTGTTTCTCCAACTCTTCTTCTCGTTCGTCCAGCTGTCACTACCATGTCTTCCTTCACGCTCTCTCATGCCGCTCCACCTATCTCCATTCCTTTCTCCGCCTCTCGCTATCGCTTGCCTGCCTGGCACCCTTGGCCTCGCGAAGACGTGCCCTGACCCACCTCAAGGTGCTGTACGACACACATTTTAAATGAGGTCACAGATATCGGCGCAAAAGTGTCAATTACACATTTTTTTTCCTTCTTCCTTCTTTCTTTTCATATTCACAGCTCATTCACACACACACACAGACATAGACACGTACGCAGTGTCGTTGTCTTTGGCAGGGTCGCTGGCCGTTGGGGGTTGCCAGCTGAAGGAGTTGGCGGCTGGGCTTGGTGGCTGCTGAGATGCAGCTCTGCTTTATGCAGCCATACTGCAGCGCACCGTTAAGCTATGCGTGTGTGTGTGTGTGTGTGTGCTTCCTCTTTGCTGCCTGACTGTGGCCACTTTGTGTATTTCCTTTGTCCTTTGAGCTTGTCTCCTGCTTTCGTGGCTTTGACTTTGATTTGGTTTTTTGCGTTTTGCTTCATTGTGACAGCACTTCAAGTGTGTTTGTGTGTGTGTGTGTGTGTGTGTGTTGGTGTGTGCTTTTCTCTCTGTCCTTTCTGCGTTAGCCTTATCAGGTTTCTTGTTGTTGTCCTGTCCTGTCGGCCTATTCAGGCCCTTGGCGTTGGGTTCATTGAACGCAACAGCTGTTTCTAGCGCGTGCCACATGCCGCATGCAACAGCCAATAGCAACCACAAAACAGCAATTCAACGATCCACAGCGAAACTAGACAAGCCCAGCAACAGCAACTACAACAACAACAACAACAACAACATTGCTTATGAGAAACAGCCCAAAAACACTGGCCGCAACGCGACGAGTTCATTGACCCAGCCGCAGCGTACCCAAAGCCAGGCGAAAATCCCGCAACGCGCTCGAAGCCGAACACGGACTGTGTCCCATGTCCTCTGTCCTGCGTCCTGTGTGTCCTGTATGTTCTGTGTGTCCTGCGTCGTCCGGGGTACGCGACGTGCCGCTTCGTTTGTTTGTTTGTTTTTCGCGTCAGGTTTTTACCCTATTTTCAATGCGGTCCCTTTCTATGCACATTTCTAAGCCTCACACGCAACCCAACAAGGATCTACACAGAAAAGGGAGTCGTCCCTTTTCCTGCCACTGCCCTGGCGCACGCTCTCACTCTCTCTCTCTCTCTTTCTATCTAATGCGCCTGCCCTCTCGCTCGCGCTCTCCCTCTTGCGCTCTCTTGCCTGTGTCTAGGTTTCCACCCCTCAATGGGCTTCCAATTGGACCATTCCAATTGGACTCGAATACTTTGTCAGTTTGCATGAGGGCAAAGTTGATTTGATTTATGATTTCGTTTGCAAAATATTTCCTATACAACCTATTTGACCACAAAGTTTCGCGACTGTTTCGACTCCTGATAACCTCAAAGTGTCTGGACTTTAAGCTTAAAATTTTCCATATCAATTTAGCATTATTTTCGGCACTTTCTCTCCAACTTCTCTTTCAGCTTGGGTTAGATCTATATTTTAATGATGATATTTGGAGCACATTTTGAGCTTTTCAAGTTTTTCGAGCTGTTGACTGAACTCCGCATGGGTTTCTAATCAGGAATACTTGAAGCTGCCTTTTGGCTCTTCAAGTTCGCTCGTTGAGGAGGCAGACAAAAGCTGGCGCTAAAGTGCACGTGTGCACGACGGCTGGAGAGCTTGCATGCTGCGGTGCAGAGTGAGTGAGCAAAAGCGAGACAGAGAGAGACAGAGAAAAACAATTTAATTAAATTCCAAGCCATTAGGCAAAGTTTTTTTTGCTGACAAAAAAACAAATGTGGAAAAAAATAAGAGCAATAGGCAGAAAGAAACTTGTTAAAGAGATTTGAGGCTTTTGGCAATTGACAAAGGCCAGGGCAAAGGGTTGCTGTAGGCTCTACATATCCAAGAAAATAAAGGAAAAACCAACTCAATGGGCATTAGCTAAATGCTTTTGCTTTGTGCTTTTGGGGGGTGACTTCAGTGGGCTGTGTAATGTGCTTAGCCCAGAGCGTTTTACGCTGAGCTTAGCCTTTTGTTTTTTTTTTTACTCTTGGCATATCTCTAATTCCCAAATTCTTTCATTTGCAGATTGAGTACGAAACGAGCGAGCAATCGAACAGCTAATTATCATTTATCCGACACGGTCTGGGAACAGGAGCAAGAAGCGATTCGATAAGAAAGATTTTTTAAACTGCAACCGAAGCAAAGCGCAAAAACCAAACACCACCAAACAAAACCAACAAAACAAACTATTAAAATAATAATATTAAAAAAAAAAACCAAGAAGAAGAAGAAGAATATAACGAATAATCATATTTAATCGTATATACAACATTATTATAAATACATATACCATATTATATATGTATAAACACAACTAAGTTCCATACAAAAAACAAAAACAAAAATACCAAAAGGAAGAAGCGCAAATTAGTAAAAGTAAATTTAATAATAAAAAAAAAAGAAGAACAAAAATTATTGCTATCTTTTTGCATTTTTGCAATTTTATATAAAAAATACCAATACTCAAGAGGCAAAAGAAAAAAATAACAAAAAAAAAAAAAAACATTAGCAAAATTTACTCTTTTATCTAAAAATAAACTAAAGAAAAAACACACAAAAAATTACTTCAAACTTAAATTAAATTTTAAACTTTAAGCAAAGCCAAAGAACGGTTTAAGATAAAAACGAAAAACAACTTAAGATAAAATACTATTTTTTTTTGCGATCGTAGTTGATCTAAAAACCCAAAAACCGAAGAGCAAAAGGAGAAGGAAACGGAAGGACACTTCACAAAAGAGTCAAACAAAAGAACTGTGCGATCAGACAAACAACTTCACGGGACTTGTGCAAAGCGCAGTCAGAGCTGTCTCTTTATAAACACAAAAAAAAATTCTAAAAAAAAAATACTAAAAGAAAAACAAACAAAAAATACCAAGAAATAAGTACATATATTCTATAAGTATAACCAACCAAGCAGTGAGATTAAATACTAAGCACAAACCAAACCAATACCGAGTGCAGCCAAAGACGAACAGCTAGCTTAACAGTCACTGTTAACACTAACAGCAACAGTTAACAGAGGCGAACAAAACTGCTAACAGCAAGAGCGACTGTTAACAGAGAAACGAGCTAGAAACTACAACACACAACTGTTAATAGTTAACAGCGAGCAAAATTGTTAACGGTTAACAGCAGGCAGCAGTAGAGGCAGCGTCACTAACATCAACATCAACATTAACACGAACGGCAACAGCAACAGCAACAGTAACGAAAACATGACCAACGCCATGGATATTGTCAAAAACGGCAGCACCAACGGCTCCGTGGACGGCAGCAATGATGAGTCGCGTACCAATTTGATTGTCAACTATCTGCCACAAACCATGACGCAAGAGGAGATGCGCTCGCTCTTCTCAAGCATTGGTGAGTTGGAGAGTTGCAAACTGGTGCGTGATAAAGTCTCAGGTAATTTGGGTAAATATTAACCAAGTTTTTTAACAATTCTACTGCACTAGCCTTAAGTCGTTCAGTTTGTAGAGTGACCATATTATTTTCATTTCATTTATGAGCTTATGTTAATGGTTCTAGAGTGTAGATCTCATACTTGATATTGTTTCTCTTTGTCTTAACAGCTGTTACGGCAAATGTTAAGCAACTGCTCTGATATTCTTACTTTGTAGTCTTTATAATTTGAGTTGTTCGCCTGCACAGAGAAATCTCTTTGATTCGATCTATATAACATTGCAAAAACATTTTCGATTCATATTATTTACAGTCTTGCCAGCATCATTGACCGCACTCAATCCGGCTCTGCAGCAAGGTAAGCAAACCCATTAGACCTCTTCATATATCACATATCTATACATATTTCACTCTCTCTCTCTCTCTCTCTGTCTCTCTCTCTCTCCCTCATTAGGCCAGAGTTTGGGCTATGGATTTGTTAACTATGTGCGCGCCGAGGATGCTGAGAAGGCAGTGAACACCCTGAATGGGCTGCGTTTGCAGAATAAGGTTATTAAAGTATCATACGCCCGTCCAAGTTCAGAATCAATAAAGGGTGCTAATTTATATGTATCGGGTCTTCCCAAAAATCTATCACAACCAGACTTGGAGGGGATGTTTGCGTCGTTTGGCAAAATAATTACATCTCGTATACTCTGTGATAATATTTCTGGTAATTTGGCAATATTTATGCATACATACGAACGAACGAATCGATCGATAGCCGGTAAATACAAATAATTGATGTTTGTCCAACTCTAGGTCTATCGAAGGGTGTCGGCTTTATACGCTTCGATCAACGCAACGAAGCCGAACGCGCCATACAGGAGCTTAACGGTAAAACCCCGAAGGGCTATGCCGAACCGATTACCGTTAAGTTCGCCAACAATCCAAGCAATAGCGCCAAGGCCCAAATAGCCCCGCCCCTGACCGCCTACTTGACACCGCAAGCGGCAGCGGCAACACGTCGCCTAGCCGGTGCCCTACCATCAGCCGGACGTATCAGGTGCGTAGCATCCACTCACAATTTAACTGAGACTCTCAAGTCGGGGCATATACTATGTATACATATACATATACATATATATATACACATGCTTATATATGTATATATACCTATAGAGATTGTTTATCTCTAGATAGCCAGATAGTTAGCCAGTCCGAGTTATCCGTTTGTCTCGCATCTCACACCTCAAACTAAAGCGAAAATCAAGTTTATATTATCTTTATATATATATATATAAATACTTATTTGATTTTTGATTGATTGAGCAATATTTGTGCAACGGTTATATACATATATATATATATAGTTCTTATTATTCTATTATTATTCGATCTAATTTCTTTTCTTATTATTATGGATTGAACATAACTTTTACATAATGTTTCTGTTTCAAATTTTTATACCTACCTCTTATGTCGCATATTTCGGTTTTTTTTTTTCTTTTAAAAAAAAAAAAAAAAAAAAAAAAAAAAAACAAAATACGAAAAAAAAAATTCTCATCATTTTTAGCATTGGAAAAAGTCCCATGTTAGCGATTAACAAGGGTTTGCAAAGGTGAATTTTTTCGACTTATTCATTTTTCACACACACACACACAAACACACTTACATATATATTGATTTTATGCTCGTTCAATAAGTGCCTAAAGAGAGTATATTGGCTTTTTTTTTTGCTGTATTTTCGTCTGTTGAAGTCTGTTGCTCTAAAAAAAAATTCAATTCTCACGTTTTAACACTCGAGATGATATTAAATTCTTAACCAATCGAAACAAATGGCGAGAACAGCTCAAAAGGAAAGCTTAACAGTCACTGTTAACACGAACAGCATCAGTTAATAGTCAAAGTTCTCATAGACAATATAAAATATCAGCATACTAAATATCTTCCAAGGATTTCGAGCTTGAATTAACAGCAAATGGGATTCATTTAAAGATTATGGCATGCATTTCGAACGAGCATTGTGCAGTCGGATGCACCCGACTGCCTTGTTTTTACTTATTTGATTTACCACACAAGCAAAAATTATTAAAAACTAAAAAAAAAAATACCAAAACAAAAAACAACTCAAACAATTCCTATACTAAATGTTTAGCTTTAATGTTTGTGTGTAAATGTTCAACAAAATACCCCAAAAATACAATTTAATTTCCAAAAAAAACAACTACAACTTTAGATATAAATATTTATCTATATTTCTGTTCTATCTTCTTTCAACCAGATTTGCATTTAAATGGAAGCTTTTTCTGTTCTTTGAAAGTTCGATTCGAGTTTCTGTTCGAGCGCATGCGTCCAGCTTTTTTTTTTTTTTTTTAATTTCCCTTTGATTCCTTAAGCAATATGTTAATATATATATAAGTATACCCATATGATTTGAAAACTCTGTAACATATTCGTTTACTCCAACCCCTTAAACAAAAGTCTGCTATTATTTCACATATATATATTATACATATATATTTATTTATATGTGTATTTTTATGTTGAATTCAATTCGCGACAATTACATTGTTGTGCTTTATGCTGAAAAATCAATTGGGCTAGAGCATTGCGAGCGAATATGCTATAAAAATGATTAACTTGGCAGCACAGTGTAATGGTGGCTAGTATATCTAATAATAATACCACTATGAAAGCATGAAAACATGAAATTATTACCATAACATAAAGTTGAACGATCCAAAAATGTTCGGATAGCCGACTTTTCAATACTCTTGCCGATCAGATTGAAGACTAAGAGATTGAAGTTAATAGATTGATTGCATAGAACTTGCCTCAATATTTTCAATTTTATAAAGTTCTGGCCAGATAGTTAGGCTTAGGTTGCACTGTCCAACAAGAGAGAGAGAGAGAGAGAGAGAGAGAGAGAGAGAGGTTGCTTTTGTTACCAACAGTTTTTCCCTCAATCAACCAATCCAGACAGTTAGACAATCATTCTATCAGCTGATCAATCAATCATCCAGTTAGTCTATGATTCTCTTACTCATTGATCATTTTAGAAAGAAGACAAAGCCTAGTTTTGTTAGAGTGTATTAGTCAATCAATCAGTCAGTCTGTTACTCAAGTAATCAGTCAGCTGGTCAATCAATCATTCAGCTAGTCTAACTTTCAATCAATTTGTCATCTAGTCAATCAATCAGTCTGTATAAAACCTTTGATGCAGAAAGTCATTCCAGTACCTACTTATTATAGATGCAATCCGCGGCAAGAGTATTAATAAAAAAAATCAACAAAAATTGGAAATCTATAAAATATACCCAGCATAGTGTTGAATATAGTTTTCCTAAGTGTTATGCTCGAGGAGGGGCCGACACCATTCGTTACGACATATACTATGTGTACCATAAACAATAAACTGAACAATCAAGTACCCATTACTTGTCTCGAATACCTCAAAAGGCCCACTAAATGCACGAGTCTAACTAATTAAGATATTCTCTTTCTCTCCCTCTCTCTCTCTCTCTCTGTCTGTCTCTTTCGCGTGCGCTCTTGATATCTATGGACAGATACTCGCCGCTGGCTGGGGATCTATTGGCCAATTCCATATTGCCGGGCAATGCAATGACCGGATCTGGTTGGTGTATATTCGTCTATAATCTGGCACCCGAAACCGAGGAGAATGTCCTGTGGCAGCTGTTTGGACCGTTCGGTGCCGTGCAGTCGGTGAAGGTCATACGCGACCTACAGACTAGCAAGTGCAAGGGATTCGGCTTCGTTACCATGACCAACTACGATGAGGCTGTGGTGGCCATACAATCGCTAAACGGCTATACACTGGGCAACCG